GGCTGCCCACACTGAAGCGAGATTCGACTGCCTCAGTCCAGTCAGCTTTTGTACCTGGACTGGGCCAAGGGAGCCATTAACGACACCTTTTACCTCAGGCAGCAAAACATCTTTGCCTTCCTGAGGTTGTCATCCTGGGTCTTAACGCTTTTGAAGTGTGTGTGTGTGTGTGTGTGTGTGTGTGTGTGTGTGTGTGTTTAAGTTTCTAATTTGGCTGCCCAAACCAGAGTTTTTTACGTTATCATTAAAAACATACAGCTCCCTCCAGCAGAGTGCTGAGATTTTTCTGAGGTACAAAATGGCCTCAACAGCAATGGGCTTTTTTTAAAAAAAAATCCTGCAGAGCAGTAGCCATGTGCCCCGTTGCCTGCAGAAGGCAGGTGGTCGCACAGGCATCCCACTGTCTTGTTGCCATGGAAGCAGGCGGCCACAATTGCGTGTCAGGGATGCAGGAAGGAAATGGCTCCCCTCGGGCTCCGCCATTGCAGCCTAGCCAGGCGATGGGGCCTCACGCGGAGAGAGCAGTGTAGCCCTAACACCATCCCAAATGGCTCATTAAATTCAGAAAATTTTGAAAGCAGAATTGGATCAGCAAGAGTGATGCCATAGACACCTTTATTTGGATGGAATTCCGAATGCATATCATCATCATTACTAGTAGTAGTAGTAGCAGCAGCAGCGGTATTAGTATTAGCATTTTTTACCTCAGTCTTCAACCTAAAATGGTTCTAGAACTGCTACACACAGTTCCCCCCCCCTAAAGTCTTGCAAACTTACAGTCTAAAAAAGACATGATGCAAAAAGAAAACCGTCTGGGGTGGAAAGAGGAAAAGAAAACCAAGTAATTGTTGCTCTCTCTGATGCAGACTGGGGAAATGGCTGCTGGAGAATTCCCTAATTCATTTTTTCCCCAACCCTGAGCTTCTGTCACCCTGAGCTAGTAATGGGTAATGGGATTTGTACTCTGACTACAGGACTTTAAAAAGGGGGAGGGAGGGGGGAAGCTTTTCCTTCCCTTCCACAATACCTAGGGAGGGTTTTCCCCCAATTACTTTTTTCCTGGACCTTAAAATCCGAAGAGCATCATTTAGGGTTTCGACTGCTTATGCCGATCCCTGGGAAGCAGGACTGGTTGTATATCCCATACAATGATAGCAAACAAAAATTTTCACATGTAGATTCTTGTGTAGACAAAACAGCACGCTAAGCACACAGAAGGTATGTATTAGTAGGATCAAGAGAGCTCAAAATAGAATTTTAAAAATGTATAAGGGAGAACTGTATGGAGGGTTGAGTTTTAAAAAAAACAACTCTGCCTATGTGACTTTCACTCCCAAAATGCCCCAATTGACTTTTTAAAAAGCAGTCTGGAAATATCATATTGAGTAGAGGGATTCGTGAAGGGCGGGCGGGCTGCCTGTCCCATTTCAGACAGGAACTCTGATGAATCCCACTTCGTTGTTTTGATCAACGTTGCCGTGTTGGTGCCTGAAGCAACGTGTGGTATGGCGCCCCAAATGTTGGGGGGAGGGCGAAGGTTCACTCTTCCTCCTAAACTGATAATGAGATGCTCTCCCTGAAGGGACTGGGCCAGCTTGTTGTTGGGGTGGCAGTGGAGGTAGTGGTTAGGGCTGGCTGCATGCCACTTGGTTCTTTCCTTGTTGCCTCCTCCCACACTCTTCCATCTGAGGCCACCGTCCCATTCTGCCGAACGATAGGGCCAGCCCTAGGAATGATTCATGGGTAGTTTCCACATCCTGCGTTGTCCAGGGTCAGTTAAGGATAGTTCAGCAGTGTCAAGTCAGAAATCCCTGCAGAGCAGCGACAGCCACTCTGCTTGCTTTTCAGGCTGAATTATGTTTCTATTTAAGTCCAGCTCCACGCAGGGATGTTGTCTCTGCATTACGGGAGAGGGATGCAGTAGCAGTAGCCTGAGTTTTCTTCTTCTTCTTCTTCTCTGCCCTTCCAAAAAGGATGCAAGTTTTAGCTGGAAACTTTGGGGCATGTTTCTGGCTTGGCGTTGGTAGAGGTATAAGCCAAGAGCAGTGCATTGGATGGATTTATGGTGGAAATCTTCACTGATTTATATCTGGATGGAAAGGATAACAGGACTTTTTTGGGTTTTGCTGCCGTTAATGTTTTGACCAAATTAGTTTGCATAGCTTTCTCCTCTCCCTGTATTCTGAAATAAGAACATTTGAAGAGGAAAAACAGGGAATGGGATGCTGATATTCCCTATAGTTCACCATATTGTTATATAAATCCTGGGGTATGGCTATACATGAACCTACCACAGGGCTGACCCCCAACATTTTGCAGCCTGAGGCAACAGAAGATGTTGCCTCTTCCCAATCCCATTCCATTGGGAATGGCAGCAGACTCATACTTCCATCAGGTCAGGTCAGGGTGCGCATAGCATATATTTATTTATCTATTTATTTATCACCTTTCTGCCCACCAGTGCTCCCAAACCAATGTAGTACAGTAAAAGAAATGAAACCAAGTGACTCTGCAAGCTCTCTGTTCCAACATCTTTCAGTTGCCTGAGGCAGCTGCCTCATTCTGCCTTGTGGCAGGGCTGGCCTGAGCCAGCTGCGGATATGAACGAGGACAGCCAGATGTCCATCTTAGACAGTCTTTGGTTTCAAGGGTGTAGAACATATGGCTGTCAGTATGCTGTCTGCAACTTGTGCCAGCCCTTGCCCATTTAGCCAACGGGATGGGATTGCAATCCGTTGTAATCCAGCAACATTTCAGTGGTCAAACATTCCCCTTCCTTAACTTTAATTGCTGATGATGACCTTTCCTGTGCAAATACTGAGCCTGAGCCCCCGAGATAAGCAGTTCTACTTTCCCTAATAGCTAATATTTTGCCAAATATTAAACAAAAATGAATGGTAATTGTTTAAGATTGGTATATTTGCTTTTACTTTCTCTGTTATATCCAGAGGGGATAAGAAAGCCATCTTGATGTTATCAGGATTCCCCACAAGCTTCTCAATTCCATGTTCTTTTGTATGTTATGTCCTTCCCAGCCCCTTTACAGAGAGCACCCATTCTGCACAGCCCTGTCTTTATTGTCTCCGATTGTCATCTGTCCAAATTGGCATTTGTGAGCATTTTTGGTCTGATTTTACATCTAGAACCATTTGCACCATTGTGATCCCAGATAATGAGCACATTCATAGTCTATCAGTGCACCCTTAACAGGGTAGTACAACATGGTGGTATACAGTGGGTCCCTAGACAGAATGCATCATTGTTTCCCAGTGGTTTTGACACTGGTACCATATCATATATTAATATTGTACATTCATTGACTATAGTACTAAATACTATTACTATGACTACTGCTAATAATAATAATGTGGTCTACAGCAAAGATAAGAAAAGTTATATTTCTCTCCACAAAAAGTTATTTTTCTCTCCACACTGGCGATGAAATTCTGAGACAACCTTTTGCAATTTCTGTTCTAGGGCTGGACTGCGCTTTGAGTACTTTATGTGGCTGTATATTTAAGATAAAATGGTCTCCCTTAAGCTTAAAATCTAAATAGAGGTGACACGAAAGGAAAAAGTGATGAGTTTGGTAAGGAAACCAAACCAACCCAAAAAACCTCAGGCACAAGTTCTTAAAGTTCTGAAAGTTCCTCATTTTGGTGGAATGTCTGTTGTTCACTACTGCTGTAGTGATCAGAAAATGCTGATGACATCCAACTCTGTCTCTCCTTTCCAAATAAACCCAGATTTTTAAAGTTCTAAACCTATGTCTAATGTTAATCAAAGTAGCATCCAAGGCAGCTTATAGTCTTACTAAATCCAGATTTTTAAAGTTCTAAACCCATGTCTAATGTCAGTAAAAGTAGCATCCAAGGCAGCTTATAGTCTTTGTAAAACAATAAAAATAAGTACAATGAAATTGTTAATATCAAATAAAGCCACTATGACCAGCAAAATATGTAGTTTAAAATATCACAGTGAATTGCTAGCAATTACTGTAATAATAAATGTAATATTTTTCATGTAAATTAATGCTGCCATATAATGCTATCCCATGTAGCTAGCAGATATTTTAACTGTTGTATTGTCCAGTTTGTTTTTAATCTATTCCTGTCCTGTTTTGAACAGTGTTTGCAAACTGTCTTGAGTGCTATTCCTCCTCAAGGTGGAAAGGTGGGGTATAAATGTAAGAAACCAACCAACTGATCTGATTTGTGTCAAGTCAGCCCTGTCTGGGGACTGCAACAAAGATGGATTTGCATGCATTTTGCAAGAACACGTCGCATGCATTCCTGTTTCATATCAAATGGCAGAATATCAGTAAAACTCTGCAAAAGAAGAAGTCAGGGGGAAGTGGGGGTGTTTGGAGTTGGTGCCAGAGTCTCTGATGCAATACTGGAGGGACCACAGATGTGTGGGAGGAGGGTTCAACACAGCCCTATGATGGAATGTGCACTGCAAAGCGATCAGGAAAAGGGAATTGTTTCAGGGGAAAAGTTGTGGGTGGGGGTAGGGGAAAGACTTGCAACTGCAAAGTCAGCAAAAATAAAACATGAATTCAGAGGGACATTTCCCTCCCACCCCCAGTAGAGCTGATAATTTTGCTCCTGTGGCTGTTATTTGCTTTTATCACAAGCTCCTTCCTCTTGCTCTTTGCCTAGAATCAGGAGGAAATGGAGACAAGTCCAAACTTTTGGCCACTGCTATTGATTTCCCCATAGAGGGAATTGCTTGTCCTCTGTACATTTCAGTAATGCAGTCCTCCGCTCCCTTATTGCTGCTAGATCTCAGCTGATGGGGATTCATTGATTTGCAGAAGCTAGCTAGAAATTTGTAATTAATAAAGGTAAGTACAGTATCTGTGCCAAACAGAGATTCTCAGTAAGGGCTGATGACATGGTAAATGAGTTGTCTAGTTTGGACCTCAGCCAGAGACTCTCTTGACAAGGTCAAAGGAAGGAAGGAAGAGGTCGTTCACCAAGATCCTTGTTTTGTTTCAGGGACTTCCTACCCCGTGGGTCTGGCATTGTAACCAGGCGTCCCTTGGTCCTCCAACTTGTTACCGCCAACACAGGTAAGTGAACCTTTTCTTCCTCATTCTGAATCCAAATTTACATCTCCCTACAACTCTTTGCTGTTCTTCACAATGAGAGGAAAACGTTTGACTTTTATTTTCATTCAAATAACCAGTAGCCATGAATGGACCGTATTCTCCTGCAAATATTGGAGATATTGAAAAAAGAGTTGACAAACAAAGCAAGTGTTACAAGGCAGAATAAAAGTCTAAAAGTCAGGTTAATGAGGCCAGGCTGAATTTAGAGAAATAACAGAGCTTTTTCGTTTTATGCCACTGATCAGTTTTCCCCCTTGTACCACCACTCCTAATCTTAATAAACTTATAGATTTAGTTTGACTGTATGATTTTGAACTGAGTTCAGACATAATACATTAGAAGTAATGACCTCACATGTTGTATTTTATTTATAAAACCCACCTGAAAATTGAGCTCCATGTCTTGCTGTTCCCCTAAATTAGAAGCTAGGATGAACATTAGTGATGGGTGTAACTGGAGGTTCAGAATCTGACCTTGTCTGCAAGGCCAATGGACATCTCCATGTCACGCTAAATCCTCTTGCCCACTCCATCCTCTGCATCTGTGTTTAGGTAAGGGTTGCTTATGATGTTCTATTGTGTTGTTCTTCTTGCCTAGAATATGGTGAGTTTCTACACTGCAAAGGGAAAAAGTTCACTGACTTTGATGAGATCCGTCAAGAGATCGAAGCGGAAACTGACAGGGTTACCGGATCTAACAAGGGGATCTCTCCTGTCCCCATCAACCTACGAGTCTATTCTCCTCATGGTAAGTCATGCTTTGGAACCCAGTGAAGCTGTTGTGAGTTTTGGAAACTTGTGCCTGCCTCTGGTCTACTGTCCCAGTGTCTTACTCAGTGGCTGGAAAAGTTACTTTTTTGAACTGTAACTTTCAGAATTCCTATTGATCACAGCCATACCTGTTAGTAGTCCAACCAAGAAACTTTTTGCAGTTTGGCTTGTGTTAAGAATAACTCCACTGTTCTCCATAGCATCTTAGTTTAGGTGCAAGGTAAAGATTTGAACCTCAGTCTCCCACTTCATAGTCCAGTATTCTTACCACTATACCACACTGGTTTCCTCATGCTGCTGCTTTCTGGCATCCAATACAAAAGGCATCCGTTTTAACCATTTTAATTTTTGCCTTCTCTTCTTTTTCCCCAGTCCTGAGTCTGACCCTAGTAGATCTACCTGGGATGACCAAGGTTCCTGTTGGAGACCAGCCTGCCGACATTGAATTCCAAATCCGTGAAATGCTCATGCAGTTTGTCAGCAAGGAGAACTGCCTCATCCTTGCTGTCTCTCCAGCCAACTCAGATCTGGCCAACTCTGATGCTCTGAAGATTGCAAAAGAAGTTGACCCTCAAGGTGACCCTAAGTTTTGTGTTTATGTTTTTCATGTTATGTCATTTTTCTCTTCCCACCATGGCCATCTTTAGTTCTCTTTCTCTCTCCATGGATCTGTTGCACAAACACCTAACTTTCATTCTCACTTGCTTTGTTTCATGCTCCTGCCAGCACTCTGTTGCACACAGCCTACTGCACACACACACACACACACTTCTTGTATATACCTTGAACGCATCCTGTATTATTGAACTCTAGCAGCTAAGCAGGAGCAAACCTAGTTAGCACTTGGATGGAAGGTCACAGGCAAGTAGCAAGGATCTCCATGAAGGGCTAGGGGAAAACAACTTGCTGAACACCAGTGTCAGCTGGCTGGATAGCTCAGTGGTTTAGATACCATTCTGCAGAGAAAGAGGTCGGGAGTTTGTTTCTCCACTGTGCTCCTGGGAGAAGAGCCAGCCTGTGTAGGCTTGGACAAGCTACACAGTCCCAGGGCATCCCCAGAAGAAGGAAATGAATGGTAAACCTTTTGCCCCCATCTTGACCCACATTACTACTGTTTTTAATTCTATTATATGTTTTTATTATATCTGTTATTGTTAGCCTCCCAGAGTAGACTTCGGTCTAAGTGGGCGGGGTATAAATTAAACAAACAAACAAACAAATTCTGAGTATTCTCGACCTGGAAAACCTGAAGAGGATTGTAGTAAGTCAGAATCGATTTGGCAGGACATGATTACTGTTATTTAAGCCATGGTCAATGACAGTTAATAATACTGGGTTATATGGACCAATGGTATTATATCACACAAGATGGATCCCCATGTTTGTATCACCCCTCCACCCCATACATGGCTTGCTCTGATCCCACAATATTAGCAAATATACTATTTATACAGATCTGTCTCTTTGGGATGACAGCAATCAACTTACAACGGATTTGTAGTATGTAAGAGTTTAATATACTTAACGCACCTTAAACATAATATTAGATATTCTGACTTAGGGACTTCAGCTTCACCATATGCATGGACTCTCAAGCTGAGCTGTCAGATACTCAGAGACACACGTGTACATGGATCCCTAAAGGGATGTAAGGCAAAGAAGAAAAGCAGCAGCAGCAATGAGGTCAGAGAGGAATTCAGTGCAGGAAATACATAAGGTGTTAATTGTATTAAAATATCTGTGTGACTGTGTGGGCTATACCTAGCAAAGGTTACAGTCCATCAATAAATGAAGTTTTACACAACCGATGAGTGCTGGTTTGACCTTCATATGATGAAAATACAGAGCACATACTGAATTGAAGCTAACTAGTGAGCTGCTTCATAATCCTCACTGGTTCAAGACACACCTTGTTACTGACTTCTGAACAGGTCAACGTACCATTGGAGTTATCACCAAGCTGGATCTGATGGATGAAGGAACTGATGCTAGAGATGTTCTAGAAAACAAGCTGCTTCCACTACGAAGAGGTAAGGGAGTTTTTGTGAAGTTTCACCTTCACTCTTCTGCACATCCCACCCATCCACCCCCATTTCCCTTTAAGTCTCTTTTTGCTCTTACCCTTTCAACACAATCATGTCCAGTCAGGCTTGAGATGAAATCCACTGGAGCAGAGTAGAAAGATAGGAACATTTCACACTCCATTTTCATCATTTGAAAAGGGATTACTAATGAAATGCTGGGAGGTAGCTATACTTTCAAGGCACATTCCATGACAGAAGTCTAAAGGAAGTTGTACAGTATTTATTTTTCAGGATATTCCCACTCCCTGATGACATTAATACCATCTTCTGGGTGCCATTTCAGTTGGTATTTAGAGGAGTCCAGCTGAACTAGATGAGTCGGTAGCTTCACCATTAGAAGCTGAATTGACTTAGAAAGTAAAGATATTTGACTGTCTTTCAACAAAGTTTCACAGCCCTGCATGTTACATGCTTTGGTAGTTGGTAAATTTAAAAGGGCTTTGTTTGCATAATGATTGTGCAAGCATAACCCCTCTGAAGAATGCGTGTCTAAAGAAATAAAGGTTTATCACCTTCTAATTGTGAAGCCGCCCTATCTACTTCAGCCCTGAGATCACATTCGATATATCATCAAGCATGTGAATATATAATAACTTCACCGCTGTGTTCCTCATGAATTCATTTCCATGACTTTCTTCCTTGACTTTTCCAATTTTTCCTTATTTAGGTTACATTGGCGTGGTGAACAGGAGCCAGAAAGATATTGATGGGAAGAAAGATATTCAGGCTGCACTGGCCGCAGAGAGGAAATTCTTCCTCTCCCACCCGGCATACAGACACATGGCTGATCGCATGGGTACACCTTACCTGCAGAAAGTACTTAACCAGGTAATGCCATCCATAGAGGGGACTGAGCAAGTTAGGAGTCCAGCATGCAGTATCACCTAGAGCAGACAAATAAAATGTAAAGATTATCAAGATCACTGAAAAAAATTCCCCATTGTGCATGAACAATCTCTATTCATTTTGTCACTAGTGTTGGTATATACCAGTGACTAGTAGCAGAACATCAACGGATCTGCCCGCTTTCCCTTTGTCCCACTATGCCAAGTCAGAATTAGAGCAGCAGCATAGGTGGCAATTTATTTAAACCACTTGTGTTTGATTAAAACTGTGGCACAATTAACATGCACGTCTAACAAATATAGCTAATAATAACTGCATGCTAGCAAGTCAGTTCTGACTTATGGCGACCTTTCCCAGGGTTTCCGAGGAAGAGAATTCACAGAAATGGTTTACCATTCCTTTTTCCTGGGGCAACCCTAGGACTGTGCAGTTTGCCCAAGACTACACGGGCTGGCTCTTCTCCCAGAAGACACACAGTGCACGGGCTGGCTCTTCTCCCAGAAGGCACACAGTGGGGAAGTGAATTCCAACCTCTGGTTCTCCAGCCAGAAACTTAACCCACTGGGGTGTAGCTAGGACCCTACAATTTACTTATATATCCCATGCCAGCAAAATTTTGAACATCTCACCATCACATCTCCCAATGCACTGAAAAAATCTGCTATAGTTCCTAAGCCCTATAGAATAGGTTTTTAGAGTGAACTGGGGCTGAGTGAGGAAGGAGGTTGCTAATGTTGGTGGAAAAAGGGGATTCAGTGGAAGGCCGCTATTGGTTCCTAGGTTACAGTGTTGATTTAATTTAATTTCTTAGGAAAACTGCACATGCAGCTAAATCATCTTTAAAGAAAAAGTTTCAGTTCTCACTGGTGCAGGAAGGAAAGCTTCGAGGAATGCTTAAACTCAAATCAAAGAAAGAATACTTCCCACTTCCAAACATTTGTTTTTTATCAACAGACATTGTGTTTTGACTTATAAGAGAACCGATAAAAAAAAAAACACCAAATAAGCCATCTGAAACGTTGTAGCTAAATCAATAATAACAAACGGTAACATTTCATTGAGCAGCAAAGACAAGATACAGAGACAAAATGTCATGCACTAAACACCTTTTGACATGGGCTTTACTGAGCAGTTAAAGACCACCCTGTAGGTACATAGGGCACGATATATATAATTAGTATGAACCCAAATTCTATTTGCAGAACTAGTCCTTCTACAGAATGGATTGTTTTGTAATGAAACGGTTAATTAAACAATCTCACCATAAAGCATGCTGCCAATGGCATTAAAAACTGCTCTTCACATGAACTTTCAAGCATCACCTTTTTCCTCTGAGGTTCTTGTTCAAAGATCTATGGTGGACTAATGCAAAGATATATGCTACGCCAGTGGTTCTTAACCTTTGCTACTTGGATGTTTTTGAACTGCAACTCCCAGAAACCCCAGCCAGCACAGTAGGTGGTGAAGGCTTCTGGGAGTTGCAGTCCAAATCTCCTGAGTAACCCAAAGTTAAGAACCAGTGTGCTACGCTATGCTATAATATAATATACTGTAATATAATATATAAAAGCTGTAAATAAACTGTTGAAAACATTGGAATTCATATAGTTTGGATAACTCAGTGGTAAAGTCTCTGGCTGTGGAGCCGGAGGTTGGGAGTTAAATTCTCCACTGTGCCCCCTTACAGGGCCTGGACTTGATGAGCCATAGGGTCTCTTCCAGCTCTGCAGTTCTAAGGTTATTACATCCAGAGCTTGAAAAAGTTACTGTTTTGGACTACAACGGCAAGGGTCCTTCAGGTAACATGACCACTGGTAGAAATAGCTTCACATAACTCTGATTATATTTTACCTTTACAGATTGCCATTGTTGGTCGGTGATACATGAACGCATGGGATTGTAATTTAAAAACAAACAAACAAACCTTGCTTTCTCTTGCAGCAACTGACCAATCACATCAGAGACACACTGCCAGGCCTGCGAAACAAGCTCCAAAGCCAGCTTCTCTCTATTGAGAAAGAAGTAGACGAATATAAGAACTTTCGCCCCGATGACCCTGCCCGCAAAACCAAAGCTTTGCTTCAGTAGGTGGCAAATCCTTTTCTTTGCTTTTCGGCTAAAAATAGCATGGCAGAGGGACCTTGTCTCTTTTTAAACCCACATTATTAAAATGATTTAAATACACCAGATGAGGTCATGATAGCAGCAACATCAGTAGCAAGACAGGAGAATTTCTGGATTTCAGTTCATGGCATATGTAATAGTTTATAAATTGAAATTAAAACATTTCATAGTCTGTGTGGAATTATTCACTTACTTGGATAGGAGTATTAATTTAACAGTGTATTTTGCTTCCTTACTGAGTTATTTTACCCCCCTGTGTAGGATGGTTCAACAGTTTGCTGTGGACTTTGAAAAGCGCATTGAAGGTTCTGGGGATCAGATCGATACTTATGAATTATCTGGAGGTGCTAGGATCAATCGCATCTTCCACGAGCGATTCCCCTTTGAGCTGGTGAAGGTAATGTTGCCTGATTTACAAACTACTTAAACCAAAGTGCCTTTTGTCAATCTCACCAAAGGAGAAAAAACATTGTTTGAACACATTTAAGACACCACCTTTCCATAGGAGCTGAGAAAATCTTGAGTGCTAATTCAATGGGAGAAGTAGCTGCTAAACCTGTGCCCGGTGAAAACTTTCTTTAGACAAGCCAGTTTTCCCTTTCTCACAACCCTTTTCTACTCCATGCCTTTGCCTTTTATGGTAGCCAATAGTCACTGAGGAGTGAAAACACCTCTTCTGTGTACATTTTTCACCTATCCATATGGAAAGCTCCAATGGTCTATTAGTGAATCATGAGAACATACATGGCATGTTTATTATTATTGACCTAAGTCATTGTAATGTGTGATGCTAGACTTTGACAATCCAGTGAAAGCCAGGAATCTGACATCATTCTAGATTATGACTCCCTCATGAAAGCAAGAAAGTCAATTTATTCCAATTCATTTTATCTGTCCTCTTCCCTGGTGGATCACTTGCAACTGTAGAACTGTTTTCTTTCTTTCTTTCTTTTTTCAGATGGAATTTGATGAGAAGGAGCTCCGAAGAGAGATCAGTTACGCCATTAAGAACATCCATGGCATCAGGCATGTATCAGTGCAGTAGAGGCAGCACCTCTACTCCATTCCTTTGACAGTATCTCTAGAAATTTCCAGAAATCTCCAGAAATTCCAGGTCCAATCCAGAAGACTTCAGAGGTATGGTAGGTTGGCAACTGGATCAATGAAAGCCATCCTGGCCTCTGGGTTTGAAACTTATGGGTAGGTCATACCACTCATTGCTGTTGGCTTGCTTAATGTTTACCCTGAATTCAAACTTTCTTTTCTGTTTCTTATGAAAGGGGAAGTGGTGCCATTGGTAAGAGGAAGTAACATGGGCTACTTCCAGTGGAACAGGAAGTGATGTCATCTCTAAGAAGACATAACATGCTAACCCTCCTGCCGCCCCAGCTATTGTTTTATGTTGCTTTCCTAATATCAACAAGAGCTTGTTTTCGCAGTCTAGGGACAAGAGCGGTCCAGTCTGCAAATCCGTAGCAAACCTGCTGATGCTGGTGTAAAATAAACAACTCAAAACTTAATAGCATTCCTGTAATATAATACATGTCAGCTATGTATTAGAGCTTGCCAGGTGTTTGACTAGAAAGGATGCTTCAGAAGGTAATCCAATCCAGAGGAGGAATATAGAAGAATACAATATAAAGTCTCTACTTTTCTATATGCAATCCCCAATGGCTTCAGGCAACAAAAAAAATGCAACATACGAATAAAACTCCATGGAGGAATTTGGCTTAAATTACCAACAGGAGCAGGTTGAATTGAATACTTTATTACGGTCAAAGACCAGTAAAACAGGAGCAGGTTTAAAAATTGGAGCTAGCTAAAATCCCATTAAGCACAGATGATGTTGGACTGCAGCTCCCATTTTCCTTCCCTGTTGGCTTTGTAGGCTGTTGCTGATGGGAGCTGCAGTCCAAAAGCATCAAGAAGGTAACATCATTCTCCTTTTATGTTGTAAACAGTAAAACAATGCTGCTACTTCAATGTACAGAACAATAGTGCAAAACCCTGTTGGAGAGTCTTCTTCATGTTTTTTTAACCCTTAGTTTGAAGCCACAATAGTCTCAGAAAGCAGAAAAAAAATGTTGTCTGTAGTCTCAGAGAGGTCTTGTTGATGAACTCGCTTTCTTTCCTGGGTTTTCAGGTCCTCTTCCAGCAGATAGCCAAATGGAATTTCTGTGATACTTAGCAATTGCCCTGAAATTTTATGTGTAATGCTATGACATTCTCCTTGCCCTGTCTCCCTCCCGCCTTGTTCTTGCCCTCCATTACCACCCCTGCCCCCTCCCTTGCCAATTTTGTCCTGGGTGTCTAGAACTGGTCTCTTCACGCCCGACATGGCCTTTGAGACCATTGTGAAAAAGCAGGTGAAGAAGATTAAAGAGCCTTGCCTGAAATGCGTGGACATGGTCATTTCGGAATTAATCAATACCGTTAGACAGTGCACCAAGAAGGTAACACGGGAAGGGAGCATGGAGTGCAGCCAGACACGCACGCTCATGCCCACCTGCCCGCTGGCTGAAGCAAAGCGTTTTGTCACCTTGGTGATGGCCCTTGCCTGGCAGTTATGTTCTTGTGGTTCTCTTTTTCTAACCATCTTCCCTAACAGCATGACTAGACTTGAGCGAACCCAGCCTGGAGGAATTTCCTAGCCAATCAGAAAGAGAGAGGGGAAAAAAAGCATCCAGGGTGCAGTCAGTGTGCTAGATTTACACAGAAGCTAAGCAAGCTGCACTTTACAACCTCAGATTAGGAGACGCTTTTAAGTATTTAAGTAATAGAGGCCAGAATCCTACTGTTGATGAACGTTAGCATAAGGGAAGTTGCTTAAGTCTTGGCAGGAAATTGCTGCTCATTTATGAGGTGCTCATTGTGTTCCTGGGCTCATGCTTACAATCAGATACGTGCCCACGAACACAGCGGAAACAGCTAATTAATGAGTGGCGGTTTGCCATCAGGACATACGCTGTTTCTGTTACGGCCTTTTGCCCTTATCAAAGTGGCATATCCTATTTTCAAAAAGAGAAGCACTAAGCCTTCGTCTTACAAAAACTGTTTTGAAATACTTTTTGAAAAACAACTTAAAATTCTTTCAAATATTGGTGTGGGAGGTAAATTGTTAATGTTCCAAGTTCTGTGGATTTTTAAAAATACCAACTGTACCTGGCTCAAATTTGCACCATTCTAAAATTTTATAGAACTATTGTAACTTTAAAAAAATGATCCCTAGATGAGAACATATGGGGCTTCTTTTGCAAGACCAGTGACAGCGCTGTCAGACCATCCTTGCGCTTCTCAACATGCTATGTCTGACTTAATGACTATCTCTGTCTCTTGGGTCTTTGGGTTGAAAGGAGCCACAGATGCAGGCACATACTTGTTTTCTAAAACCTCTGCAGCTTGGTTTGTTTTCTGATTGGCTCAGTTTATATCCTGTCAAAGAAGAGCAGCCAGTGGCAAAAGAGAAGCTAACTTTAAAATATTTCTCCTGTCTTGATTTGCCTGCTTCTCTCTTTCTCTCTGTCTGAAGTCCTTTGGAATGGGTTGCCATGGAGGGTGTCCTGTGATAGACAATGAAGAGTTCAGAAGTCCCTTAATCCTCCCCATCCCATTTCCTAAATTATTGCAAATTAATTTTCTAAAGTGAAAAAAACTGTAGGCATGAAAAAGAGAGAAGAGATACGTGTTACTTCTCTTGGTCATGATCTGCTGCTTCTAGCAGGCCTCCAGTTACTGGAGTATCTTTCTTTTTTTAAAAAAAAAAGTGTTAGACTTTCTTACACGTGGGCTCTTGGAACCTCTGGCATGTTGGAGCAACTGCTGGCCAGTTGGGAGCAGGTAATGGGGCAGGGGGCAAGACGGATCGTTCAAGAACATTGTTTGTGATGGACGGAGGCCAAGTGAAAGATGAGACACACAGGATTGTTTTGACAAAAAGCCACAGTGGATGACTGTCAACCTAAGTCCCTGGTTCAAGAGGGTTGTGGTTTTTTTTACAAAGCAAGGCACACCTATCACAGGTTCCTCAAGGTTCTAGAATGCTGGTGGGAAATTCCTTACCCCCCCACCTCATGCTGCTATCCTTTTGGGGGTGGGATGTTGATGGTCTTGGCGGGGTGTCTGTGGCATTGGGGAGCACCCAGAAATTCGCCATCCGTGCCAGAGGGATACATGTTCTCAGGCTGCCAAGTATGTCATCTGAATAACTGAATCAAAAGACCGACTTTTCATGTCCCCTTGACCACCTAAATCTTCTCTATTAATTTCCCCATGAGTCAATTGCCATTCCTGATTCTTCTGTAAGTCCTCTTTCTCTCCGTGTTGTTTATTTATTTCTTACCTATCTTTCTATCTATCGGTCTGCCCTTCGCATTTCCCCCTTTTATTTTCTTCCTCCCCAACATCTCTCAGTGAGTCTGTAACCAGTAGTGAAACCCTATCTAAAACGGGCAATGAAGGATGGGTTCCTTCTGTCCCATGGGGAGACAGAGCGTCCAAAAATAAATGGTGTATAAGTGCTGGTTGTTTGTATTGGAGTAGGGTCCAGAAGTGCCTGGTTGGGAAACACAAAACTGAGGCTGCATGTAACCTATGGCCTGCAATTTGCCTACCCTTTTGGGGGTTAGAGATAGAACAAGACTAGAAAAGATGATAGAGAGGAAACATCTGGAATGGAAAAGAGGCATTGAATGTTTGAAGAGGCATGTGACCTCCGAGCAGGAAGATATTATAGGGGTAAGAGAAGAAGAGGGAGAAGGGCTTTTAGTGATATCATGGGTTTATGACATTAGTTACTTATTTAAACACAGGATTCTGTTCTACAAAGAATTTTCAGTCCACCAAGCCCAGGTTTGCATGCCATTTAATAGTCCAGAGGTGGGCAAATCATGAGGCTCCAGATGTTGTTTCACTGCAGCTTCCATGACCTCTCATCATTAGCTCTTTGCAGCCTGGCAACATACAGCCCATCCTGTTGTAGTTACCACGGAGTAGTTGTAGCTAACTACTTTGGGGTTTTATTAGTGCCTGGCTTGTTCTTGAAGAGGACCTCTCGTTTCTTGGAGCGTCTTAGTGATTCCATTTCCTCAGCTTTGCTGTCCATTAAAAACAGCAGAATTTATGTATACGACTGTTTGTTGTTCCATGTGCTTGGCTTGTATTTCTGTGGGTTCTATTGTTGACTGGCAAAGGAAGATAAGCTCTCTATTCAGTGCAAGCTGACCACTCTCTATTGGCTCTAATCATTCACAGAATATAACTTTATAAGTGTGTGGAAATGTGACCTGCAGCCAGTGTGTATGTGTACATGTATATATGTAAATACAAGTACAAAACTGAATATAGAGATATTAATTCTAAAAAGTGATGTTGCTCACTAGAGATGGGCCATGATGTATTTCTGTCTGAGGTAGAACAAGAAATGACATCCCCACACAGACTTATCCAGGCCAAGGTGCATAGTATCCAAAGCTAGCCCAATTATTTTGGTGTATGAAGTACGAGTAGTAAATTCTATAGGAACCACTTCCATTCCTACCATAACAAAGCAGATAATAGTTCAGGCCAGCTTCTAATGTCAGTGGAATGGTGAATCCAAAGTTTACAGGAGCTCCCTAAGGTGCTGAACTCTATATCCACATTAGGTTCAGTAGCTATTTTAAAGTTCGGACTAAAACCCATTGTGAATTCACACACACCCTACTTTCAGAGCCACCGGCTTCTGCTTTTAACTTAATCATTTGCTGTCCATCTGTGACACTCAAAACCTGCCACCACATTCTGCCAAATGATGGACCAGCCTTGTTATTCACACATCTGAAGTGTGAGGTTGCTCTACTTCCAAGACTGGGTCTCCCAGTAACTAGAGTTTGATTTTATGGGGAAAGGACTAATGCACACTAAAAATGGAGTGTGTAGGTGTGTTGAAAAGCTCCCCAACAAATGATAAACTGACTAAACTTTCGGTTGGTGCTTTAGTGTGTGTTTGTGTATGAGAGACAGAGTGTGTGTGTGACACTGACAGAAAGAGCAATATGCAAGCTATCTGGTTCACAGATAATTGTGCCTGTCCAAAACATTACAAAAGAAAGGAGAAGCTAAGCTCTTTTCCTAGAGAAAAAGTAACACTATTTCCTGTGTTTAGGAAATATATTTTATACTGCTTCAATGCAGTCAGTGCCTGGTGAAATGTCAGAAGCTATGAGGACGGGGAGGACGTGTTAGGACTATGAAGATCTGTAATGTACAAGTGGTATAGCTGCCTATCCCTTCCTGTACCTAGAGATGGAAAAACAAGCCAAACAAAACATATATACATGCATTTGTTTCAACTACGCTTAATCTATGGAGGCTGCAGAATACGGCTTTACAATCGTGTGGAATCCAGGATTTTTAAAAGCCTGGAAGGGAATAGAGGTTGCTGAATTCTCCTTCATAGTTCAGGATATTCAACTAGTTCAGGATGTTTAAAAGTACATGCACTTTGTGACAATATAAAAAAAGGAAAGTTAATTCATGATCCCTTTCATGAGGAAAGCTACGTATAGAACTAGTCCATCCTCCCCCAGGGAACATATCTGCCACTCTTCTGCCACATGTCCATGTTGGCAACACTTTTCATTTCTGTGTTGCCAAGCCTCTTAAGCTGGAGGACTACTATGCATTATATGTCTCCCTTGGAAGTTACCCTCGTTAGCAGGAAAGTGAAAGGGAAGGAGGGAGATGAGCTGCGAAACCACCGCAGGACTTTACGCAGAGGGCTGAAGCCTGATTTTTCTCAGGTTCCATTGCCAGTCAGAGAGAGAAAAGGAGACTAGGGTGGGTGGGGAGAAAGAGGGGATCCCTGTGTGTATCCATCTATCCATTTTGTTGATCACACCCTAGCTTGTGGTTTTGCATTCTGTCTTTTCTTCATCTTGCAGAATTCACCTGATGCTTGGCAGCACTTGGGATCCTTTAGCGATGCTCTCCTGGGTTAGATTTACCTGCGTGGTCTAGACCAAATATCTCACTACTCATTTTTGCCTTGTGTTTTTCTCTTCTCTCTTCTCCCTTTCACTCTCTTCTTTCTTTCTCTCTCTTTTTCCTGCTCTGTCTGATCTCTTCCCCTTCTCTGCCTCCTCTTCCTCCTTGCCTCCTCCTCTGCCTCCTCTGTCTGTTTCACACTTCTTTCTTCCTTGCTGCTGCTTTCCTTCCCTGCTCCTTTTTGCCGTGCAGAACGGGTCTCTTCACACCTGACCTCGCTTTTGAAGCCATAGTGAAAAAGCAGGTGCAGAAACTGAAGGAGCCGTGTCTGAAGTGTGTGGACATGGTAGTGAGTGAGCTCACATCCACCATCAGAAAGTGTAGCAACAAGGTAAAGAAACCCAACACCCCCATATAATACAATAAGATTTAAAAAGATAAAAGAAACCAAACATCCCCAAATAATAGATACTTTGTGTGTACACATACA